CCTTGGTTCTGCTTAAGAGAATCACAAAAGGGAGTATCCAGGCTGGGCTTTGAAGTATAGGTAGGAGTTCACTAGTGACAGGATGGCAAAGGAACACTAAGGAAAGCCTCAGAGGCTTGGGAAATCTGTTCAACAAGCAGGAATGATAAGAACACCCCCTCTCATAGCATTTTTGCAAAACTTGTAAGCACCGTCATCAAGTAAATAGGGGTACCTGCACACAGTCAGGCTGCAGAAATGGAGAGAAAAGTGTAAGTACAGTTAAGCAGGGACTGTGTGCCAGGCGCTGTGCTGAACTTTACCTGTATTCGTATGCTTCATCCTAGGAGAGAGTTAGTCCCATTTTACAGATGAGAAAGTTGAGCTGACTTAAGTGATATGTCCGAGGTCACAGAAATTGTCAGTGGCTGAACCAAGGCTTGACCCCAAAGACTCTTAAGTTTAGAGCCCAGATAGTTAGCCACTGTGCCGCAGGGCCTCCCTGTGCCATCTGAATATTAGCCTCACAAATGTTTAGTCGGAGTCCCTGAGTATTTGCTAGGATACTCTGTGCAGGCCAAAGCTAATGATTTGATGGATAGAGTGTTGTTGTTTCTTCCCCTGGGTCACTGTTTGGGTTTTCTCTGCAGCCAGTCTTTGAGACTGAACTTTACACGTCCTCTGTCCCTTCATGCTGGGTGGCTTCCCCAAGAACCCTCGGGAAGCTGTGCCCCTTCTTGGAATTCTTGGGGACTGCTAGATGTCCCTCATAGCATGTGCCCCCTCGTGTTATCACCACCTTTTTTTTTTTTTTAAGATTTATTTATTTATTTGCGAAGGAGGGGAGGGCCAGAGGGAGAGGGAGAATCCCCAAGCAGACTCCCGCTGAGCACAGAGCCTGATGCAGGGCTTGATCCCACAACCCTGAGATCGTGACCTGAGTATGAAATCGGAGTCGGCTGCTTAGCCAACTGAGCCCCCCCAGGTGCCCCTCCCCATCTTTGTGCAGGGAGGTGCTATCTTACCGAATCCTTAGCTCCCTGAGACAATGGGATGTGGTCAGGCCCACCTGGCAGTCTTGCCCTTGACAAGCCCCGGGACATTGGGAGCCTCAGCTCCTATGGATGCGTCTGTTGAGCCCACTTTAAGGGATTAAATGAGTTCTTAGGTGGAAGTCCCTTCACGCAGCTCCTTGCTTCTAGAAGCCACTCAATAAATCATAACAACAGCAGCAGTCAACAGTTTTCGGTGCCCGAGGTCAGCCTCATGTGGTCATTTTGCCTTACACGTGGGAGCTCACTCAATCCTCATGACAGCCTTCTGAGAGACGTACTGTTATCATCCCATTTTACAGATAAGGACACTGAGGCATAGAGAGAGCAAGTAGCTGCTTCATTAGCTTCCCTCTGTCCCTCTCCCTGGAGGGCAGGACTCTCACTTCCTGGGTGCCAGTGCCCATAGGGTCACAAGCACACTGTAGGTGCTTAGCCGTCAGGTTTAATGAATGGACACAGTTACTCATTCTCAGGCATCCTTCTGAGGAGAGTATGGAGAGTCGGTGTTTCCCTCTGGCACTTTGGTTATCAAAGGCTTTCCGAGCCCCGTAGGTGTGTGGTGACATCATGCCAGGCACAGGTAGCCTAACTCAGGATTCCTGGGGCAGAAGGAGAAAGGGGGGGCCTCTCATTTGGGCCCCCCACTCAGGCCCTACGAATGTGAGGAACAAGTGGAGCTCAAGCCAGTGAATGTCACAAGGGCTTCCTGGAGGAGGTGGCCTTTGGAAGAGAAGCCTGGGAAGGATGAGCGGCAGGGTTGAAGCATCCCAGACTAAGATTAGGCACAGAGGCGGGAAAGCAGGTACCTCCCTGTGAGGAGGTGCTTGGCAGGCAGAACACTGCCGAGATTCCAGGTGGCTACTGGGACCGGGGCCTCTCTGGGTGGACTAGGGTTCTTGGGGCGGTTTTGGCTAGACAGGCCTGCAACTGGGGGCAGCTGTGGCACGAGACTGGGCTATGGGGTTGTACACCATGGGGTGTACCCACTGGGGGTGCACAGAGCTGGACAGGATTACTAAGACTGGGATTCTCACATTCCAGGGGCCCTGGCCTCCCTCTAAACTGCAACCAGCTATGGAGAAGAGGAGAGAAGTGGTTCCTAGCAGGCAGTCCCCAAATGCCAGGGACCCCTGACCTGGGCTGACCTCATCTGCAGGTCAGATAGTACTTGCCGGAGGAAGGAAGGGCCTCAGGACACCCCCTTCCCCCACAGGCCCCCTAGGCCTCCCCTTCATCACCCTAGGCCCCCTCCCACCTTGGTAGGGCCCAGGAGCCGGGCTTGCCCTTGCTCCTTGGGCCACAGGGAGCTGGAGCCGGGCAGCCCCCCCGGTGGTGGTGTCTGAGTCCCGGCAGAGGCGGCGGCAGGGCTGACTGCCAGGGGCCTGTGGGGGCGAGAGCCTTCGCTGCGACAGCAGGAGCCGTCTCCCCAGGAGATGAGTCACAGCCGTGTTGGTGCGGCTGCCACTTCTGCTTCTGCAGCAGGTGTGAGTGGGGGCGAGCGAGTCCCTGAGACCGCCCCTCCACGCGCGTGCCTGTCTCTGCCCCCGCGTGTGCCCGGCCACATGGCAGCAGGGTGTGCGTGCAGACACACATCCGTGTCCCTGGCCACACGCGTGCACTCCTGGAATAGGCCCGGGGTGCACCGTCCAGCCAGACGGTGGGCATGCCCAGTTTGGGAACCACGGTTAAGTTTGCTTCTCACCAAGTTTCGGGTGGAGGGGACGAAACAGGAAGGAGCTGGTTTCCGCCCACAAGGCCCACCCACGGAGCCGTAGGGCAGTCAGGAGCGTGTTTGGGGGCCTGTGCAGTATCCCGGTGAGCCGGGGCCTCCCCAGCCGAGGTGGTGAGGCAGCAGCTACCCACCCCCCGCCCCCCGCCCCGCCCCGCCCCAAGCTCGGGTGGGGCCCTGCCGGGCTCCAGGGGCTCCCAGAGGGCTTTACTTCTGAGCCTGCCAGGCACATTCTAAAAGGACACGAACCAGGGGCGCCTGGGTGGCTCAGTCGTTAAGCGTCTGCCTTCAGCTCAGGTCCTGATCTCAGGGTCCTGGGATCGAGCCCCACATCGGGCTCCCTGCTCGGCGGGAAGCCTGCTTCTCCCTCTCCCACTCCACCTGCTTGTGTTCCCTCTCTCGCTGTGCCTCTCTCTGTCAAATAAATAAAATCTTTAAAAAATAATAATAATAAAATAAAAAAATAAAAGGACACGAACTGGACATCAGCCTGGAGGGTTGATGGGAGTTGTGGGGCAGAGAAGACACACACTTGTGCTCTGTTAAATTGCTGGGGGTCCTGTGTTCCATCCTGTACGCCTAAGATGAGGGCCTCACAGGACAGCTGGCATCTAGGGGTCTCCTCTCTGTTGGATTAAACTATAGCCTGCAGGGCCTTCCTTCGGGATGCTGGTGTGCCAGGCCCGGGACCAGGTGGCACCCCAGTCCTCCGTGATTTCTCCCAGGGAGGCCTCCAGCCCAGCCATGCTCAGGAGCAAGCTCATCACTTCCGTCCCTGTGCTTCTCCAGCCCTCCTGAGCTCTCTGGGCTCCCGGGTCCCACAGCCTTCCCAGATGCAAGTGTGAGCTGTCTGTCAGCTTAGCGGGTGCATCTGGGCCTCACCCCCTTTTCATTGACCCACGCCATGTCTGGCCGGCAGGAGTAGAGGGTAGGCAGGAGGCCTGGGTTTCCGAGGGCCTCTCCTCTCCCCTAGAAATCATGAGTAATGCCCAAGTCTGTGTCCCTTTCTAGTCGAGTAAGCCTTTTTGTCTGCATGCTCCTCTTTGAGCCTCATCAGGCTTACGCTACCAAGGCCTGTGTTGTTCAAACCTCCTTGACCTGAGACCCACAGTAAATGTGCATAGTACACCATGACCCAGGGTGCACCCACACTCTCACATAAAATCAAGACACTGAGGAATATTATTTATTCTTACCATGTGCTCACGCTTAACCATTTTTTTTTATTCTGTTTTTTTCCCCTCGTGCTGGTTTGATGTCATGACCCAGTCGTGTTTTATGACCCACAGTTCCAAAAACTCAGAGAGCAGAGTGGGGGAATGCCCTTCTTAGGCCCATTTGACAAAAGAGGGGACTGTGTGCAGACAGGCGAGGGAACTTGGACCCTCCCTGAGCCAGGAAGGGACAGGATTCGTACCCAGGGTACCAAAAAAAAAAGCCAGGGCAGGAGGAAAAGGGAGTGGAGGGGTGGGGCTGCTCTTACTGCAGGAGGTCAGGGCAGGCCCCTCCAGAGAGGTAACTTCTGAGCAGAGATAGGAAGGAAGCCAGGGGCTGGCCGGGCAGAGAGGGTGTCCAGGCAGGGGGCGAGCAAGCCTGGGCAGACAGTGACATCACCCCTGCAGGGCCCTGCCCACCTTGACTACATTGGCTGCTGAGGGCTCTGCCCGGTGAGAAGCAGGCACGAGACTCAGCCCCCCGGCTCCCCGCTGCCTGCCTGTCACGCAGGAGGGTGCCTCCCTCCTGTGAGTCCCGACCTCCCGGCTGGCTCCCAGCACCTCTAGGGCCAGGCCTGGCTTGCCTGCTAGGCCGGGGTATAAGTTCTCCAGGAGTGAGCGAGCCCTTTTGTCTTCTGCTCACTTCCTGTGATGACAGCACAAGCCAGGCAGAGGCATGATGTGCTTTCCTACCCCACCAGCCTCCCCCAGACCCCCTTCCCCCGGCCTGGTACCCAGCAGTGCCACCTTGCAGGTCTCCCCGCTGTCGGGAAGCCGTGCAGGGCTGGTACAACAGATGTGGGTGCTCTGCGTTTCTGCTCCCTTGGGGGCCACATCTGGGATTGTGTCTCCGTGAGAGGTGCCAGGGAGTCAATGCAGAGGCAGTCCCAGCTCAGCACTCCTAGGAGCTGGGACCCCAGCACTTTCTTCATGCTATAATCTGGACAGCCCCTTCCCTCTCCCCGGGGGTCACTCTTCACAAGTACCATAGCAACTAATTGAAAGGCATTATTGAGCACTTACTGTGTGCAGGGCAGGGTGTTGGGCCTAAGGTTAAGTCCTTGCTTCTGGTGTTTGGGGGCTTCTCAGGAGATGTCACCAAACAAGGTGGGTGCTTCTGGGCCTAGCAAGGAGACAGGGGAGACAGGGCAATGGGGCAATGATTGGGGTGCTCCCACAGAGGTGGGAGCCAAGCGGGGAGGCCGGGTAGGGTGGGATTAGCCAGCAGGGTAAATCATTCTGAAGTGTGTGAGTTCGGACTTTGCCTTGTAAACACTGGGAGCCATTGGAGGTCTTTGATTGTGGAGAGCGTCTTGGGTGTTTGAGGGAGCTTAGCTTCGCGGGGACGTGCACAGGAGACTGGGGTGGGAGCAGGGGAGGAAGCATGGCAGGCAGGCCCATACCTGTGATCCAGAGGCAGGAAGGAAGAGTGACGTAAGGAACCTCTTGCCAGAGGCCACATCAGCTGGGCTGGGTGGCCAACCTGCTACGAAGGGTTGGGAGGAAGGGGAAAGAGGCGAGCTTCAGACTGGGGCCCTTCCGATGTTTTCTGAGAAGGGACCGGGAAGTTCCAAGGGGAAGCTGGTACGGGGAAACCAAAGCTCTTTCTGGAGAGCCACTTCAAATCAGAGCGTGGTGGAAGGAGGAGCTCAGGTGGGGCCTGTGGGGCTCTCTTCTTCCTCCATAGCGTGGCCTGTGGACTTTGGGCTCAGGTGAGGCAGACAGCCATGGGGGTGGTACTTCCACAGCGATGAGGGGAGACATGGTCACTTCCAGGGTCTGCCACCACGTGAGGTGTGCCTGTTCTGCATCGGACCCTGTGCCAAGCCTGGGGGGTCTAGAGCTGATGGAGATGGGGGTCACCTGGGTTTGACTGGGAGCCATGGAGGATGATGGGGTGATGGGGCCCTCCTGTGTATGCAGTCCCTGAGGATCCCCCCTCTGTCTCCCTCTGCAGTGATGGGTCATTCCCCTATGACTCTGTCCCTTGGCAGCAGAACACCAACCAGCCTCCCGGCTCCCTCTCCGTGGTCACCACGGTTTGGGGAGTGACCAACACATCCCAGAGCCAGGTAAGAGCCTGTCCTGCCCCTCTGCCGCAGCCCCCCCTTACCCCCCCCCCCCCCAGCAGGACCATCCCTTGAGCCCTGGGGCCTTTGGGTCATCCTCCCATGCCAGTCAACCTCACACTGCCCAGCTGGAAAGACCAGCTCTTGGGGCACATTCAGCCGTGGACATGCCGCTACCCTCCACGCTTGCTCAGGAGGGCGGCAGCTGGCCCCTAGGCAACCGTCCCCATCCGAGGGCCCTTCTGGGGGAATGACTTTCATCTGACCGAGAGCCGGGGGTTCTTCCCTAGCCCACGTTTACTTGGGTTGGATAAATAGGAGAACTTCCTGGATGTTATTGGCCTCAGGGCTCCAGCGTCTGGGGTCTTTGACCGTGGGTAACCTGGGTTAGATTTCAGCAAAATGGTAAGCTTTCAGCTTGTGACAGACCCCTCCCCCACTCCCCTGGCCAGCCCTGCCTCCCGCTCTCACCCCTTCCTCTTTCCTCCACACCTTCCTGTCCAGCCTGCTCGGCCTCTGCCACAGCTCGGGGCTGGTGGCCGCCCCCAGGGGCACCCCTGGGCTTCCCTGCAGTCTCAGGCCACAGGGGCCCCTTGGCTGGGATCCTGCCACCCTCCAGAGCTGGCAAGTTGGGTTTCTCTTCGCCCTGACAAAGCAGCAGCCCAGGGCCACCATGTATCCCAGTCTCTGGGCACCCAGGCCCCTTGGCAGAGGAGGGCCGAGAAGTCCAGTGCCTTCCACCTGCCACTGAGGGCAGGACCAGCCCCTCCTGGTTCCATCACAGGCCGGGGTTCTCATCCCCTTTGCTGCTGGCTTCCGGGGCTGTGTTACCCCCTTCAAAGCATTTGTATGGTCTGGGGACAATTCATGACTCCACTTTCTCCCCCTTTCCCTCTGCTCTCCCCGTTGTACCATTTTCAAGAGCCCCCCATGTCTCCTCTTTCCCTCCCATGGCCCCTGGGACACCGCTTGGGTGACAACCACGCTCTGCCCACAGGTCCTCGGGAACCCTATGGCCAATGCCAACAACCCCATGAATCCAGGCGGCAACCCCATGGCGTCGGGCATGACCACCAGCAACCCCGGCCTCAACTCCCCCCAGTTTGCCGGGCAGCAGCAGCAGTTCTCGGCCAAGGCCGGGCCCGCTCAGCCCTACATCCAGCAGAGCATGTATGGCCGGCCCAACTACCCCGGCAGCGGGGGCTTCGGGGCCAGGTGAGCAGCCCTCGGGAGCGGCTCTGGCGCTGCCCTTCCCCTCCGCCCCGAGCAGGAGTAGGGTTGAAACGCCAGCCCTGTGCTTTTGGCTCCCCGCGCTCTGCTGTCCCCTCCGTTAAAGGGACACAGCGAGTGGGTGAGACACTGACACAGCTGGCTGGCTGTGAGAGCCGCCAGGCCCCTGGTGCTGGAAGGCCCGCGCTCTCGTCCCCCGGAGTGGCCCTTCTGTGCCGGTGTCTGTACATGGGGCTGGGGGGTCAGACGCTATGAGGGCGGAGGCGGCGGGGTCAAGAGCTGCTCCAGACAGGTGCAGGAAGGCCACCCTGCCCCGCGGGCTGTTCAGGCCGTACCGCCAGGTTCGAGAGGAGCGGGGGGGGCGGGGGGCGGGGAAGGAACAAGGAGCCCCAGGAAGATGCTGCAGGGATGTGGGGGCTGGGCAGAGAGGCACCCCGTTCCTCCTCTGCCGCCCTGCCCTGTCCAAGGCCACCTCTTTGGCTTCAGCCCACCATCCACCAGGGCCCGTGGGCAAGGTGCTCGGGGTTTTGTGAGGCACCGTGTCCTCCTCCGGAAGTTGGGCTGCCCATGGCAGCGAGGTGCAGTGATCTCGTGCCCGGGAGAGTCCGTGCCGGCCAGCACCCCACCAAGGGCTTCGGGAACACAGCAGCTTGCCTGTCGCCAAGGGGCACGAAGAGCTGCCAACCCGCAGGGGCCCCTCTCCCCTTCGGGTTCGGGGTCTAGACGCCTCCCCAGTCCGTGAGCTGGGGGCAGGAGGGCATGGAATGGAAGGACCCGTCTTCTCCCTCCCAGCCCAGGGCTTCCAGTGGGTCCATCTTTAGATTCAGGCAGTGTCTAAGTCTCCCCTTCTTCTCCCTTGCAGTTACCCCGGGGGTCCTAATGCCCCCGCAGGCATGGGCATCCCTCCGCACACCAGGCCGCCCGCCGACTTCACTCAGCCCGCGGCAGCTGCCGCAGCGGCTGCAGTAGCAGCAGCGGCGGCCACGGCCACGGCCACGGCCACGGCCACCGTGGCAGCCTTGCAGGAGACGCAGAACAAGGATATAAACCAGTACGGACCGGTAAGGGCCCCACTAGTCGCGGTCCAGCCTTGCCCCCCCGCGGAGTTGGGGTGTTGGTGCCGTGTGTGCTGGAAGAGCTGATGGTGTCAGGGTGCGTCTGGGTTTCCTTGGAGGCCTGTGGACGGGTGTGTGTTAGGACGTGGGTGTGTCGGCATGGTTGGGTGTGGTGCGGGGAGGCCGGCTGGGTGCTTGCGTTTGTTCTGCGTGGGTTTGTGGCTCATGCGTGTCTGCAAATGGGGAAGGAGGTTCTTTATCGCCCTCTGGGCACCTGCTCACCAAAGCGCAGGCTCGGTGCCTAAAACGCCTTCTCACCAGTCTGTCCCCGTGGTGGCTTCTGAAGACCGTACACTCCTAGTCATCCCATCTGTGGATTGAGCCCAGGTCCCATTTCTGCTCCCCTGACCTTCAGAAGGACTGGTGGGGTGTGAGGAGAGAGGGTTCCCCGCAAGAATGCAGGACAGGGGAGAGGAGGTGGGGATTGTAGGAAGGGGACAGCAGGGCCTGTGGGCAGAGGTGGGAGCTGGGACTGCCTCAGATTTTGTGGATGGAGGGCGTGTCTCCACCGGCCGAGGGCGGGGCCAGGGCTTCCAGGAAAGGGGCTCCTGCCTCCATCCTCATCCCCCTCCATCCTCCCGTGCCCCTCCCCACCTCTGCACCTTCTTCCCCGTTCCCTGCCTGCCTCCCTGGAAATGCTGCCTGCTCTCTGGAGTGACTGCACCCCACCCCGTTAACACCCCTTGGGCTGCATCTTTCTGTATGGCCTGCAGAGGGCAGTGGTGAGCCCAAGAGGCCAGACATCCCTTGGGGCCTGGTCACCAGCTGCAACCACACAGGAAAGTGCCCCCCCGACCCAGAGCCTCCCACCTCCCCCACCCTTCCCTCCCTGCACTTTCAATGCATGTGGCATTTTATTCTTTTTTTTTTTCTTCTTCTCCTGTTGAAGGTCTGTTCCTCTTTCCAGATGGGTCCCACCCAGGCGTATAACAGCCAATTCATGAACCAGCCCGGGCCGCGGGGGCCTGCCTCCATGGGGGGCAGCATGAACCCCGCAAGCATGGCGGCTGGCATGACACCCTCGGGGATGAGCGGCCCTCCCATGGGCATGAACCAGCCCCGGCCGCCCGGCATCAGCCCCTTTGGCACGCACGGGCAGCGGATGCCCCAGCAGACCTACCCGGGCCCCCGGCCCCAGTCCCTTCCCATTCAGAGCATAAAGAGGCCATACCCGGGAGAGGTGAGTGTGACAGGAGGCAGGTGGTGGCCAGGGTGGGAGGTGGGGAGCACCCAGGGCTTGAAAACAGAGGGGCTGTGGGCAGGACCTTGCAAAGGGCAGGAACTGACCAGCGCCAAACCTGGACCAAAAGTCTGAGCCTTAGGATGGAGGAGTCGGGCTCCTGGCTTGGAGACCAGCTCTGCCATTTCCCAGCTGGAAGTCCTTGATCAAGTCCTGTCCCCTGCTGGAGTCATGGTTTTTCATTTGTAAAAGACGGTGCCGATCCAGCCCACCTCCTGGGGCTACTTGGGAGATGTGAACGAGGGCCAGACGGGAAGCACTTGGCCCCAGGGCCAGCGCAGGCAGCAGAAGCTGTTAGCGTGGTGTTTGGTCTCGGCACAGACACGGGCCCAGTGACTTTGGTAAGGAGTGAAACCTCCTTGGGTCCATGTTCCTCACCTGCACACGAGGGCTTCTCACTTGCAAGAGTGAGAGAGGGGACAAAACCCTGCAGATATCTAAAGGCTGTGCACGTCGGAGAAGTGACTGGAAGGCAGTGTGCTTCTTAGGGCTCTTCTCTGCCAACTGTCAGCTGCTCTTTCGGGAGGAACACTGTCTCATTGGCTGCCCAGCCAGCTCAGCCAAGGGAAAGGTAAAGATTTAAGGAAGTAAAACCCACACCTGTCCTCTGGGAACCCAGACTTCAGCAGGAAAGGGGATCACCTTCCTGGAAACCTGTCTAAGCAGGAGCCCATAAAGCAGTGATGCACGGGGGTATCCGGAATTCAGCATGAGGTCAGAGAAAGAGGACTTCCTGGAGGTGGTGTCATAGGGCCTTCAGTGAGCAGTGGGAAGAATTGGCAGCAAGTGGCCTGTCTGGGTAAGGCTTTAGTTCACCTGCAAAAGACACAGGGACCCTAGAATCCTGGCCCAGTGCGCACTCCTCAGGAAGCCTGCCTTGATTCCTTACCTAGGCAAAGCTCCTTGCTGAGTAGTCTCCCCCACAGCTCTCTGCTTGCCACCCATTCTCAGACCGGCTCCCCCCGACCCCGACCCTACTTGCCTCCGAACTGTGGCCTTCAGCTTGACCTTACAATGGGTTTAGAGTCCAGAGGTTAAGTTCCTCAAAGGTCTGTGTGATTCCCTCAGCATTCACCCTAGCTCGGGCTTGGCCATTGTTGGCAGTGTCCTGAATCCAGAGGGGAGAGGTCAGAGACCTCCTCAAACACCCGGGAGCCTGGCTCAAGCCCAGACACTCCTGGATGGCGTTGGTTCAGGGAGGCACCAGCCAGAGAAGGACAGTGGCTCTCAATTTCCTGGCTGTCCTTGGGGGGAAGGGGGGGCTTGATGCTCAAGCTCCTGGCCTCACTCCCACACACAGCCCCCACAGGAGTTCTGGGCCCTCTTTCAGGCCCTCCATGCTCAAACTCTCCACATTCCTGCTGGCTGGGCCAGAGATGCGTCTGCAGACCCAGCCTTGGGGTTGCCGGCACCTAAGGAGGTGATCCCAGGAAAGGAAAGGCAGAGAAATTCCCAGTCATTGCTCCCATGTCCACCTGCACCTGTGGCATGCTCTGGCGAAGGCACACCCCAGAGGCCTTGAATTATTTCTACTCAGTCATCCTCTTCATTGGACGCCGATGCTCCCCAGCTACAAAATGCCTGGCACTGGGCTGGGACACTGGGTGATCACAGCCTGCGTGGCCTGACCCTGCCTGGGAAGGCGGGCCTCACCTTGCAATGGCACGCTTCGAGAATCTCTGAGCCATTGAAACGCCGGGGCAGGTGTCGGGTTGGCTGGTCCCGCACAGGACTCCTCTTCGGTGGCCTGACGGGCCCCCACCTGCACTCCTCTGGTGATGTGGCAAGAGCCACACTGTCACAGCAGCCACCGTACTGCCACGGTATGAGTGGTGGAGTTCCTCAGCACTGACACGGACACTACCATCCTCCGCCGCTTACCTCTGGATCCTTCTCTCGTTTGCCAAGGGAGTATTTATGGAGGGTCTGCTCTTTGCCAGTTGCTGGAACACAGCCGGGACCTCAGAGCCTAGAGGCAAGAGAGACGGTTCAAATAGATAAGGAGCTTCAGCAGACCTCGCAGGATGTCATGGCCTGGAGTGTCTGGGTGGGAGGTGGCCCTGAGGGTCACTTAATCTTACAGAGGGGGCGGGACGGCTGCAGGGTGGACATCGGTGTGTCAGGGATCACTTTGGAGATCTCCAAGGACAAGGAGCTGTCTCCTCCCTTGAGCTGTCTCCTCTCTCAGTTGCCTGTCTTGAGAGGGTTGTCTGGAACCTACACAAGCCTGCTTCTCCCAACCTCTGCACGCATGGCCCAGAATTGAACATCAGTGTGTGCTGTTCAGTGTGGGGTGTGGGGCCAGGGCCTCCCATATTCAGCCTCCAAATGCAGCAGTTGAGGGGGCCATCTTTCCGGAAGCACATCCCGTTGTTTGCATTCCCCTGCCACACACCAAGTGCTAGGAGACACATGAAGGGGGCTTTAGAATCGAGCTCCCTCCTAATGGCATGAATGAGAGGCTCTGAAAGTACCCTCAGTTCAGGGGGCAGGGTACTCAGAGAAGACCACTTCACGGGGAGGTGGCCCTCGAGCCAGACAGAACGTCATGTCCCTGGATGTCAGGGCAGCCTCTGGTGCCACCCCCTCTCTCTGGGTGGAGAAGGCAGTTTGTTGGTGGAAAACAGCCGGGACAAAGGTGAGGGGCCGGGGCACGCCTGGCCTTCTGGTGAGTGGCTTGGCTCCAAGACACTGACAGCCTTTCTCCTCCTCTCTCTGCTGCCACAGCCCAACTATGGAAACCAGCAATACGGACCAAACAGCCAGTTCCCCACCCAGCCAGGCCAGTACCCTACCCCCAACCCCCCGCGGCCGCTCACCTCTCCCAACTACCCCGGGCAGAGGATGCCCAGCCAGCCGAGCACCGGGCAGTACCCACCCCCCACGGTCAACATGGGGCAGTATTACAAGGTGAGTCCTACCACCCCACCCACCCCTTCCTTCCTCACCACCTCATATCCCCACCCCCACCTGTGTCATCTTGGTCCTGTGTGTCCCCTGAAGTCACCAGGGGGCAGGCAGAGATCTCCAGATGTGTCCTCGAGTGCTCAGAGCCATGGCCAAAATGTCAGGCTGGCAGCTCTTGGTTCCCCATGAGTCATGGGGTTCAGACAAGGGTTTTCCCCTTCCTTTTTACTGTTTACGGCACACACCAGATGATCATAAAGGAAACACGTCTTTTTTTTTAAAGAAAAGCATCCACTTGGATATATTAATATTACCTTCTAAACCTTTGTTTCCCTACTGCACGTGGGTATCAGTATGTTATATAGTTGTTATTAAGGTTGTGATTTTGAATCTGTTTCTTTCACTTGACATGAAATCAGGAGCATGTTACTTATTGCTACAGAGTCTCTGTGGTTCTCACTTTTTAAGGGTGCCTCACCTTCTACCGATATAAACCACATCGTATTTTATTGTTCCCTTCCTATGGGATGTTTGCGATGCTCTTGGTTCTTCACTTTCGAAGTAACATCGTGATGAATATTTTTGGGCACATAGCTTTTCCCTTCTTTGGGATTATAAAGTTCATTCTCAGGAGTGCAGACTGCTCTGGACACACTTTACATTTATTTGCCCAGGAAGCATGCTAACTTCCATTACCACCCACCACTGCTCCAACTTTAGCATTCTAGGTGTTTCTATTTTTGCAAACTCTTGCTATATAACTAGCTGTAGACAGAGAGACGAAATCCCATCCCGGTGCGGGGGAAGGGGTGACCTGCTCTACCCCTGTCCCGCCCCACACCCCAGCACTGGATGGGCCTCGTCAGCATCCCCTGTATGACACTTCTGGCCAGTTTTCATATCAGGAGGGAAAGCTGGCTTCTGGGAACTTTTCTGCCTTCCACTTTCAACGCGTTGTGTATCTTGCTTTAACAGCCAGAGCAGTTTAATGGACAAAATAGCACCTTCTCGGGAAGCAGCTACAATAACTACAGCCAAGGAAACATCACCAGGGTATGTTCCCGTTTTCATCGGGCGTACTTGTGTGTCTCAGGGGCCCAGCCACCCCCACCCCAGGCCCGCAGGTGGGAGCGCACTCCCAGGTCCTCAGCTCTGGGGCACACTGATGCCCAGACAAAATGCACAGGTCCAGGCCGGTGGGCCAGGGATGAGTAAGGATTAAGAGCAGAAGGGAGAGCAGCCTCCTGGGGAGCCAATTGCCCAACGTGCTGCAGGCCCGACTCCCGTCTGAGGACCCTGCTGGGCTGGGAGTGGAGGGTGTAGCTTAGAGCAATGATGTAGGCAGCCAGAGACCTCAGTGCTGGCCGGCGTAGAGGGATTTCCGGAGGGGGCCTGGCTCTGCTCCCTTGGGGGAGCAGGGACCATAGCCCCAGGGCTGTGGGGCGGGTAGGGTGCGCGTCCGTAGCCAGAGTCCCTCCTATCCCTGTGACCCCATAACCTATGTATGGTTTCTCTTTTCCTCCAGCCTCCTAGGCCAGTTCCTGTGGCAAATTACCCCCACTCACCTGTTCCAGGGAACCCCACGCCCCCCATGACCCCCGGGAGCAGTATCCCCCCCTACCTGTCCCCCAGCCAAGACGTTAAACCACCCTTCCCACCTGACATCAAGCCAAATATGAGCGCTCTGCCGCCACCCCCAGGTGAGTGCCCTACCTCCTCCCTCTGTCTGGCCAGCACCACCTCCTCCCTCTGTCTGGCCAGCCCCACCTCCTCCCTCTGTCTGGCCAGCTCCACCTAGGGCCTTGCGGTGGGCCAGGAGCCAGGGGGCTTGGAAGTTGGACTGCCTGCGGGGGCGCGGCATATGGAAAGGGCAGGAGGGCTTGGAAGCAGAGAAGCCCCACCCGCAAGGGAAATTTGGGGTGGAGCTGGGCTGCCAACAGCCCTGAGCTGCTGGAGGCTGGGAGCAAAAGCGGCTCCCAGTTGTGGAGAGGGGCTGGGCGGAGGAGCCTGGGGTTTCCAGAATAGGTGATAGGTGCGGTCAGAGGGGAGTAGAGCCAGGATGAGTGGGACATGGGACGCAGGGACGGTGGGGTGGGGTGGACTGACAGAAGCAGCGGGCTCCCTGGTGTGCACACAGGCAAATAGCCCCGCTTCTGTGGCCCTGTTCACACACACACACACACACACACACCCCTGCAAATCCCGAGTGTGCAGCTAAGAGTGCGAGTTGTGGGGGAGGGGCGAGCCCCACCCACAGCCCTGGGGCCCATGCTCCTGTGTGCCCGTGGTGGCCACAGGCGTGCAGCTAACCCAGCTCATCCTCCCCGCCCAGCCAACCACAACGATGAGCTGCGGCTCACCTTCCCGGTGCGGGATGGCGTGGTGCTGGAGCCCTTCCGCCTCGAGCACAACCTGGCCGTCAGCAACCACGTCTTTCACCTGCGGCCCACGGTCCACCAGACACTGATGTGGAGGTGAGCGTCACGCTGGGAGCACAGGCCCAAGCTGGGTGGGGGGAGGCGTCCGGTGGTGACGTCCCCGGCCCAGGCATTGCCCTGAGCAGGTAATTGCAGCATCTGCCGACGGCCGTCACCTGTTCGGTATCATTGACTGGGCCCCGCTCTGGGCAGGGTTTGGGGGATGTTGTGGGGAACCTGCAGGCAGGCCTTGGCAGGTATAGTGGTCCAAGGGCAGGGAGCAGCTTTCGCTCATGTAGTCCTGAGAGAGTGGTCAGGGATGACCTCCCAGAGGAAAAGGGGGCTAGCTCAGACCCAAAGGCCGGTAAGGCAATCTTCCAGGAGGGACGCTGAGCTGGCAGGAGGAACTTGAACATGGCTTGTTGTGGCTAGAGCCGGAAAATAGAGGAATGAGGCTGGGTTGGGCAGGACCAACAAGCCCTACAGGTTTCCAGCAGTTGGCCACTGAGCCAGGCCGCTGCTCAGACATCCAGACACACCAGAGGAAAAGGGCTGGGCCAGGCCCTGTGTTCTCTGCCTTCTACACCTGACCTCCCTTGATCTTGTCAGTGGGCAATGCTTTTCCCATTGACAACGAAGCCAGAGAAGTCGATTAGCTTGGGGGAAGTTCTCACAGCAAGCAGCAGACTGGGACTCGGGCCCAGTTCTCTTAGATGCCAGAACCCATTGGTGTCCCCATCCTCGGTCCTTCCTCCTCAGGCAGGACTCACGATGCCCTGCCACCCCTCTTCCCAGAGTCTCTCAGCCACCCAGTGGGCACCCGAAAGACACAAGATGGGTCTGCACTGGGCACGTACACACAGCTAACTCAGTGCCTTGGCCACGCCAAGTGAGCTTCGGTGGGGGCCGTAGACAGAGCTGGGTGGGTGGAAGGGCGCAGGAGCTCAGGCAGGAGGATGGAGGGACCCCTGTGCAGAGGCCCTGCTCACCCCTCCCTCCTTACCCGAGTGCCCTCACCTGGGAGGCGTCCCGTGGCCCTGGCCTGCTTGGTTTCCACAGTGCCGGCTTCATGAGGATCCCCTTCCGTGCTGTATCTTTGGTGCCCAGCTGGGCGGGGAACTGAATCCGACACGGCCCAGGCCCGTCCCAACTGGAGTCTGGGTGGGACATCGTCAGCCTCCCAGCTGGTCTGGCCACATTAGTGTCTGTCCTTTTTGTCCCTCTCTCTCTGTCCTGGGACAGCAGGTGTCACCCTGATAGGGAGGGGTCTGGAGGAGACCAGCCGAGCAGTGGGGTGTGGCTGGAGTGAACGGTGTGAGGGAACGTGGGTTGTCGGGACGGGTTTTGACTGGGGATGTGGGCAGGGGGGCTATCCAGGGTGGGAGAGGACAGTGCGGGGAGGCGGGGGCAGCAGTGGCAGCTGGGGACATGGGGCCCTGAGGGCTCAGGCTGTGGTGAGGTGGAGGCGTGCTGCCTGGCCAGGTGTCACCGAGCCACGGGCAGCGCCATCTGAGCCGTGCCCCCCCCCCCCCCCCCCGCCCGCAAGGTCGGACCTAGAGCTGCAGTTCAAGTGCTACCACCACGAGGACCGGCAGATGAACACCAACTGGCCAGCCTCGGTGCAGGTCAGCGTCAACGCCACACCCCTGACCATCGAGCGCGGCGACAACAAGACCTCCCACAAGCCCCTGCACCTCAAGCACGTATGCCAGCCGGGCCGCAACACCATCCAGATCACCGTCACGGCCTGCTGCTGCGTGAGTGTGCGGGCGG